GTCGGTCGGTCAAAGGCCTTTGACTGACCGTTGACCGACCGTTAACCGACTATGACCGACCGTTACCATCCCTAAACAGTATTTATTCATTAATAAATTTTATTAATTTAAAAGTAATGTTACTTCCGGCGAATTATTATGAACAGATTCAAAAATGATAGAATTGAATTGGGCAAATTTGAAAAAAAAAAACTTTCGACAAGAAATTGCGTCTTATATTTATTGGAAGTTTTCATTTATAAAATGCATAAACAAGCTGCTTTAATAATCAAATATAAACTGCATACATGATTCCTACACTGCGTGTAAAGAAGATGTTTCTTTCTTTCTTTTTTTTTTATTTATTTTACCAGAAAAACAACTCACAACTAAACAATTTATGAAAAATTTAAGAGTTTTAATGGGCCTTTTTGACTTCTTCTGTTTAATATATAAATATTTCATTTTTCTTTAAAAAAAGCGAGATTCGCATCTATTTTTTTCCAAGTTATTGAATATTCGTTTAAACTTGAAAGAAGTTAATTAATCACGAGAAATTAAATTTTAAAGTTTTAAGATTTTTGAATAGAAACTTTATCAAGCCAACCAAGTATTAGGCAATATTCATAGGAAGTACAAAATCGTATTACAACATAAAAACTTCTAACATTCACGTCTCGGTACTTGAACCGCTGTTAAGGTAAAAATCCACATGTATTAATTACACAATGGCGCAAAAGTATTGATCTTTATAGACTTTTTTTGCGAAAGCGTTATAATCTTTATTAAGTTTACGTATTTATTTATACAAGTACAAAGGTAATACAATAATCTATCTAGAGAAATAAAAACTAAGCTACGATCAATACCAACCTTGCACCATGCCAGACTAAAATTAAGTGAAATTAAATGAAATTGAACAAAACAACCGTCAAACATAAAGGGCGTGGTTGATCTTGATAGACTTGCGGTATGCTACTTGATTGATAGATCAGTATACGCGAAATAATATGAAATACATGTGAAGGATTTTTTGTGTAACTTTAATTAGATAACATAATACAAACATTTCGCTCTGAATTTAAATATAATATAAGTTTTAAATAATTGACGTGTTCCTTGTACGCGAAGTTAGATAACGATAACCGGTCCTTAAAACTGTGGACGGACCGGACTGCTGGTTTACATGACCGGTTCAACAATCAGTCCAGAACCGGTTCATATATATAATCGTTCATATTTGAACTTTTTTATTTACTAAAATTTTCACACCAATCAATATTAACATTATAAAATATAAAAAATAAAAAATAAATTAATAGGATCCTCATTTTGTTGAATGTACCGTATAATATAAACCGGTTCAGACCGGTCTGTAGATCACGGACCGAAGACCTTGTGGACCTACCAATGACACGTAAATTTTTACTATTCCCAAATTAGGATAACAAAACAATGCAACCAAAATTAGTAATAAATATCAATGTTTTCAATGTCCTTAATTTTAATTATTCTCTCACTAACCCTCTAAAACATTTAAGTTTCAAGCCGCCAAACTTAGTCTTTTGAACTTTTTTAAATATGGTAAACGCTCAAGAATATATAGAAAACAATTTTCCTAAAGATGTTATTGAAGTCAATGCTGCAAATAAGGATTTAGAAGGACATTTGGATTTATCAAAATATCCTAATTTAACCAAAGTAAACATTGGAATAAACAATCAATTAACAGGTTTAAAACTTGCTCACTCGAACCAAATTGTTTGGATGAGCATCTATGGTACAAGAATTGACGATTTCTCTTTTTTGGCTTGCATGCTTAACATACAGACAGTATACCTTTCTCAATCAGGAGAAAAAATTGGTGATGGTCCTGGCAATGCTTATATTGCCAAAGCAATACGAGAAAGTTGCCAAGAGAATTACAAATTTCAAAACAGTTTAAGGCAATCGAATCAAACCCAACTAGATCAAGAAAGAAAAAAAAATAGTGACAATTCTCAAAGAATTAAAGAGTTAGAGCAACAGTTAGCTAACGTCCAACAAAAAATTCAACCTTTACAAAGTCAAATCCAACAGAAACAACAAACTATTGATGATCAATAAAGTCAGATAAAAGAATTGTACAATATTACTTTTTCTAATAGTACGTATAATTTCACTAATCTCAAAAATGACATTATCCGACTTAAATTCCAAGAATTAGCACCGCAAGTAAGAAATGAAAATGCTAATTTGGTTCAGTTAATTTTTGAAGCAAAAAACAAAGCTGGCAATCTTTCTTCCATAGTTAATTTAATCTTAGAAACTCAAAAGCAGATCATACAAAACAGTGTCAAGCAAGAAAAATTAAGTAGTCAAATTGAAGCTTGTCAAACCATTCTTGCAAGCAGCTTGGCTAAAGAAGAGCTGCAAATACTCTTAAACAAACAGATAGAAGTTTTAGAATTAGAAAAGCATTTAGAAAGTATTCAACGATTAATTAATGAACATTAATGTAATGCGCTAGAGTTTTGTTGAAAAATAGAGGGCAATGGATTCAAATTAGCTTCTGTTGGGATATAATGTATGTGCTAAAGTCTACGTAATTTTGAAAATATTATATAACATGTTCAATTGAATTTTTATGACTTAATAAATTATTTTTAACATAAACTAACAGCTTAGATTAATTTCTGAAATACATTTAAATTTGGGTTTGATAGGCCAAAACCAAGCCGTGAAATTTTAAATATTAGAATTTGTATTTCAAATATCGATTTACATAATAAATACACAGCCGTATATGATTATTATATCATGAAGAGAGTTTATTTAAACTATGATCGTGATATTACAATTTAAACTATTATTAATAATATAATATTTACTTTAAAAATATTATATTATTCTATTTACTAGTATTTTAAATGACAAATTATTAAATGTATATAAAAACAGTATAATCGCGAAGTTGAATGTAATAGTTTTAATCTTTATATATACATGTATAACTAAAACGAATAATTTTGATATGTTCACATACATTTAGATCAATAAATGATAATGAAATTAAATCTACTAAAGTATTCAATAAATTCATTCTGTTGTTACTTTACGTTTATGATTATTTTTGAGTAATTTTACGGGTAATCGGTGATGACTCAGTAAGTAATGCATTTGATTGGATATTTTATCACAAATTTCACCAATCAAATGCATTACTTACTGAGTTATCGCCAATTACCCGTGAAGTTACTCTAAATAATTAAATATTTGTGTAATATTATTTTTCAATTGTATTAAATTTCAAAAAAATAAATTTGAAAATTGTAAAATAAAAAATTAAGATTATTAGTCGCGTCAATTCAAAAAAAAAATTAATTAGCAACTGCTTAGGGCCTTATAACTCAGTATTCGGAAATGACCTGATCATTTAACCATTTAAATGATTTGTTTATTCCTTTGTTATAATCATAAATCATTTGTCATTTGTCATTTAGTCATTTGCTTTACAAAAAATTTAGCGATACTCTTAAAGAATCGCAAATTCTTAGCGAGTTTCACAATTTTATCTCCCAATGATAAAGAATCATTCCATAGAATGATAGATCAATCTGGTAGAATGATAAAAGAATCGTTCTAAAGGAACGATACAAAAAATCATTCTAATAGGATGATAAAGATCGTTCTAAAGGAACGATACAAAAAAATTGTTCTAATAGAATGATAAATTATCATTCTATCGAAATGATAAATCATTGTTCTATCGAAATGATAATTTATCATTCTATCGAAATGATGCCTTTAATCATTCCTTTAGATGATTCTTCTATTGTTTTATCAGAACGATGATTTTAATCATTCCTTTAGAATGATTCTTCTATCATTTCTTTAGAATGATGCTTTTAATCGTTTCTTTAGAATGATTCTTCTATCATTCTATCAGAACAATGCTTTTAATCATTCCTTTAGAATGATTCTTCTATCATTCTATTATAATGATGCTTTTAATCATTCATTTAAAATGATTCTTCTATCATTCTATCATAACGATGCTTTAATCGTTCTTTTAGAATGATTCTTCTATCATTTTATTAGAACGATGCTTTTAATCGTTCTATCGGAATGATACTTTTAATCGTTCTTTTGAACAAAACTAAAAAATTGTTCAATTTTTAGCTTAAGTTTAGCATTTGACTTAATTTTACTGGACTTGTCTAACTCATAATTTGAGTCGACTCATTCGGAACTCGAATATAATTTAATATACTATTATATACTAAATATTTGCCCAATATGAAATAATTTTTTTTAATATATATAATTAAATATTTTAATAAATTTAACTTATTTACACTATAATAAACAAAATAAATAATAAAAATTTATAAAATATGCAATATTTAAAAATTATTGAAATGACTGGTCATTTGATAATTGAAATGACAAGTCATTTGTCATTTATCATTTGAGTCATTTGCCAGTCATAATCATTTGGCGAACACTGTTATAACCTGCGGATTTGTAAAAGAAGAATCTCTTGCAATGAGACGGAATAATAAATATAGTTGTGCTCAATTCTCAAAGATTATATTTATAAACGAATGGAAAAGATAACAAAAGATTTTTAATGATTTAAGATCTATTTAATAACAATTAATAATCAAATACTGCCTCGCTCTGACTTCTGAAGTCAATTTTATTAAATATAGAACTTTTCGAAATCACTGTGCTAAATAAAAACTATTCTAAGGGAATATCATATCAGAGAATTTTTAAACTAAAGGGATCAATTTCATTTATGATATCTCTTTTTAACTCGATCAAAAATCTACCATTTTTATACCAAAATTCGAAAAGACAACTTGACCTTGAAATGACCTCAAATGATCTCAAGTTAAAATGACTAAGGCCAATTGAAAAAATAGTAAATGATCTCATAATTTACCATCACTAACTTGCCAAGAGAACAAGTTGACTAGAGGACATTTTGACCAGAGATCCAAATAAACAATATTATTAATTAAGTAAATAAAATATTTATAATTAAAAAATCAATACAATGATGTTCCTTTATTAAATTAACATCATAAAAATGTCATTATTGGTATGAAATTTTTGTAAACTTTTGATTATTAATCTAAACTGATAAAACGAAAAAAAAGTTGGGCATACAGAAATTCAGACATCATTTTTATTCAAAATAATTTAATATAAAGCACCGATTCAGTCTTCCAATGAGAAGCGTTTCAAAATGTTTCTCATGAAGGAAAATGTCCTGGAGACGAATCCAATCATGAGAAATGCTCCAGAAGTGATAAATATCATGAAAAACTCTTTGAAAAATCAACGTTATAGGTGGGTTAGGGTTTCTTGATTTATCAAAATAGAAACGATAAGTTTTTAAATCCTTAAAAGAAAACTTACCTTTATTTAAAACAGATTCCTCTTGAGTGCTAAAATGACGTAATTTTTTTTAAATTTAGAATTAGAAAAATCTACCATTTTTCTTTAGGGATTTCTTCAATAGATTAATTTTCTTATATCAATAAAATATGATAAAGCATTTGTAATCCAGCTCGATTCGAAACTTTAATTAAATATACAGTGGCGTTCAAAAGTATTGCATCACCTGAATACAAATTTTAAAATGGCATTTTCTTGTGATTAAGGTGATGCAGTATCATATAAATTATTTATTAGACTTATTATAACCAAGTCTATTCAATATATGAAAATCGGTTTATAGTAATGAGATAAATTTTTAAAAAATATTTATTTTTGAACAATTAGGCGATCCTTTTCTTTTGATCGTTTTTTTATTAAATTTTTTAAGTATATAAAAAAAATCAAAAATCTAACCAACTTATTAAAAACTTTGGTAAATAATTATTTACCATTTTGTATAGCCACCATTAGCTTTAATTACATCATTTATACAAGTTGGCATAGTATTAACCAACTTTTTGCATACATCGGAACCCAACTCAACCCAAATTTTTTGAATTGCATCCCATAACTAATCCTGTGTTCTAACAGGTGTCCAAGCTGCCTCAAACAATGATCCATTTCATTCCAAAGGTGTTCTATGGGATTTAAGTTAGGGGATTGTGCTGGCCAATCAAGAACTTTAACCCTATTATCTTTAAACCATTGCTTTGTAAGTTATGCAGTATGTTTAGAATCATTATCCTGTAAAAAAATAATATTTTCTTTATCCATTCTATACCACGCAATGGTTCCCAATAGGTCTTCCTTTAAAATTTGGCGATATAAATCACCATTCATATGTCCATAAATTCGGCATATATTACCAACCCCATCAAATGTAAAAAATCCCTATACCATAATATTACCCATCCAAATTTGACCGTTGGTTTAACATAATGATCGCGTAATGGTTCTCCTGACTTTTTCCAACAATACTTTCTACCATCTGATCCATAAATCATAAATTTTGACTCATCTGACCAAACCACTTTACTCCAATCTTCAACTGTCCATA